GGTGTTTTGGGAAGTATTTCCAGCAGCCAGATGGTGTTTGGGTCAAAATAAACCACACTGTGTGTTCATGGTAATGACAGAACATGTCAATTGAGAAAAATTTAGTTCTGTGGCACAGAAGAATAAGATATATCAGACACAAACCAGTGGTTTTAGTCTTTTCATGGGATTTGTTGACAATAAGATAAAGATAGAGTTTTTCCAACTTAACGCTTTAAGCAGTGAAACTACAAGCTTTCTGTCAGATGCAGGAGATTCATCTGTATTCTGTTTAGCTCATTTTAGTCTGTGACACAATGTAGTGCATTGTGTATTTATTTGCACAATCATATGCAATCAAACAGCAACACTTCCACGGTTTAGGAGGATGCCACAGCAAATCAAACAGAGGCAGCAATCAGGGACCATCCAACATCAGCCCATCTGAAAAACAGCAGAACATTCACAGTGATGAAGCAGCTGCTACGACGAGCCAATCAGTCCAAAAGGCTGTACTGGAAACCGCAAGACAGCAGGACATTTTCCCATCATCCTCTATTGCTGGGGAGAGCATCCCACAGGAAGCAGCGGTACAGGCACGGCACATATGTCGACCTTTGTATATGACCACAGGGAGGTACATCAGGGATGGTTGTGAAGCTTATGGCCTTTTTTTTTTATGAGGAACGTATCACGCACCATATTGCCCTGAGACACTGACACTGATGTTACTGTCACACACGCTGTAGTAGTCATCAGATGGATGGGACAGCTGGTCACCGCTTGGAGTTTTTGACCGCTAGTAGTAGTATGTAGTACTATGATTTTGGTGCAATTCACATCTTGCCATTGGTTTCATGCAATTCCACTGCTTTGACAACATTAATGTCACCTAAAATATGTTGATGTCATCAGTCTCTCTTGTTTGTTCAGGACAAAATAACCTCTCTGGCTAACATGACCACAACGTAAACCCTGTTACCAAACATAGATTTTCTGGAAAGATGATGAACCTTTGGGTGACGTCACACACCTCTTTAGGTTAGCCAGAAAGATCCATTGCACTGTACACCCATAACCATTTTAGCCCATGGCAGTTAAACCTTAAAAAAGACGTACAACAGCCATATAAAATTTGCACATATGAGGGGCAGTTCAGAGCGGAGCGTGAAGGCCTGCGGTGAGAATGTGGCCTTTTTGACAGGGTGAAATCTATGAGTACATCTGGAGGACTTAATGAAACACTTTGCTGCTCACACACACACACACACACATACAGAGACATGTGTGACAGTAGAAGCTGCAGGAACTGAACCTGAGAGCTTCACCGCTCACTAAATGACCACCCTGAGGAGCTTCAGTGTCCTTTCTTTTCAAAGCAGCAGTAAGACACAGTGCTAGTGTTGATCCCGCCTGCCGCCAAATCAAGACAAATGGAAGTCACATCATGAAAATGGAGAAGCAGCAGTTTCGTTGTGGATTAAGGAGAAGAGCAGTTTCAGAAACCTTTCTTTAACCACGATACTACCACCTATTGAATCGTGTTAAACCAATCCGACAGGATTAATTAAGAAGGTGGATTAATCAAGAAAAAGGCTGTTAAAGAGAGCCTGAGGGTGGTGCTTCTCATTTGATAGCCGGTTAGCTGAACCAGTGCAAAATTACACCAGGTAGTGTGTAGACAACACATGACTCTACCTATTATACATTTAATTAGCTACCTGGCAGCAGCTTAACTGCAGAGTAGAAAGAGCCAAACCTGAGCCTCTCATGTATTTTTATTACATTAACATCACAGATCATCCATTTATCTGAGGGATAAGATCTTCATCAAGACAAAGAGTCTACAGCCGTGACAGCGGCTCTGTGAGGTAACATCTTCACAATAACAATGGTATCACATTATAAATATTAAATAAATATTAAAATTGTGACTTGATGATGACACTAGATGGAGAATCACAATGATCAAAGTTCTTTGAATTATTCCAGAGGGTGATATCTACCAAATATCATGACAATCCATCCAGTAATTATAGAGATATTTCAGTCCGGACCAAAGACAGATCTACATTGCCATCTCTAGAGCCACACCGTTTGCATGGCTAAAGCTCAGAAGGTTGTTTAACAACATTTACTCCTCCTCTAACCATATGGATAGCAAAATGTTGTGTCCACTGCACTACAAAGAGAGATTTTTAACCTGTTTGGGATTAATCCTAATCCGAAAAAACATGGTCGCCGAAATAACATTTCTTCTTGCTTGATTTGTAAAACAAAAGAATATAGCGTTGCAGTCCTGTGCAAGAAAATATAAAATAAAGGAAAGTTTAAAAAAATAAATATACCCATATAAAACCAATAACCAAACTACTGTATTAGGCATCTCAAAGAATGACAAATGCTCTGGTTTTCCAGTCACTATGCCTCATATTCCACATCAAGCACTAGGATTTGTAACTCTGTGGTTGCGTAAGAGGCGTGGACTGGAGCGTGTTCGTCTTTCAAAATAAGAAAGTGAATAAGAAGCTCTTCAGCTGCTTCTCTGTGGCTCAATTATTCCTATTTCCTTTGTTTTTTGTGCAGGCCAATCACACAAGATGGACTGTGATTACCAGATCTTCAAATACACTGCGCAATGTGAAGATTTGAATCTCTGCCACATGACAGGGACGCTGGCTCAATCAGTCTGCTGAATAGCTCTTATTAGTTTATAGATATGGTTGATTTAAAAGTGTTACTTGTTATTCGCAGACATGCAAAATGAAATAAATCTAATGGTGTAAACAGACCAGATAAACTGAGTCTAAAAAAAGAAAAAGAAAATGCATACATGAAACTAACCATTTTCTATATGTAGATTTAAATATTTCTTTATTCTTCTTAATGATATCTAGAGGCTAATTTCATACATTATGTCATATATACAGTAAGTGTACACAAAAAAGAAGTGGATCAACAGCAGCAGCCAGTATAGTAAACAAACACAATATGTACCCCTGCAGTATTTATCATGTGTAAGAGCTCCACAACACAATGAAAAACATTTTTGTTAATGTTGTGTTTGTGATGATATTTATTCTCCTTTTTGCTCAAATGTGGACTCAACCAACTTCTGAGAAAAATTTCTAGCTCTTTATTCACTAGATATTCCACCCTCTTCTTAAGCTAGTCTGTAATGTTGCCTGTCTGTTGGGTCGGGGTAGGTAGTGTACAGTGGATTTATCAGAGCTGCCTGCTGCTGTTGGAAAAAAAGCTGATGAGAGTGCTGAGACTGGACCACACAGTAAATATGTTGCAAAACCAAAAAAAAGGACCAAAAAAGGCTAAAATACAAAGCAGAGCTGCAGAGTTATTGGTAATTTTCTGTGGCTTCATCGCTGCGAGCGACTGCTTTCACATTTCACGTAATAACTTAATTAATTGCTAATGAAAAAAATATTGATTAGTGGAGCTGGATGCTCTCATACAGTTGGTCTGTGACTATTTATGACGGATGATAGTTATGGAGTTGGTGTGTCATCATAATGGACTTACAGGTGAGGTCATGTTTATTTTAACTTTTTTGATCAAAATAACTGTCAGTGTGCTGCAGAGGAAAATAAGTCTGTGAAAGTTACACATGCCCTAAAATATGACCTTTTATATGATCTTTTACAGAATCTCGGGTGCCACCACTCTTCTATTTGACGAACAGGTGATGCACCAAAACTTGCATTGTGTTCCACCAAACTACACCACAGTGCAGGGCAGTGAGCAGCCTGACATTAAGCCAAATTGTGTGACAATGAGCAGTCACCTTTACTCTTCCTGGAAAGGTCAGGTTTTGGTGTAAAATCAGGTGTCAGTGAAATGTCATTCCCTAGTTTAATGTGACAAACAAGTCTGGCTAAATGCAGCTCTATCTCCAGTCTACCTGATCGGAGCAGTTAATCCCTGAACAGAACAACATACAGTGTCCACATCAGCGCACAACCTGAAGACAGGTCTGTTACCTGATCAGTTAAATAAAACAACAGTCAGTCAGGCTTTGGATCAACTTTCTGACTTGCATATAGGAAAACCCGATTTGTGCAATAATGACTGAACAATGGCTGCTAAGAGTTGTGGTGCCTTAAAAATCAGCTGTTCTGAAAGAAGTTGGAGAGGCAAAAAATACAAGGCAATATGTCACACAAATAGAAAGACTAACCAGGTATTTAGAAGTGATCATAATTGCACATCATGTCACAGCCTCTCCTCAGAAGGGAGGACACTCTATGCACCCTGATTGGCAGGCACACAGAGAGGTCAAGAGACAAATGTTAATGGATGTATTGACGACCCACTGACCTGCTGATGATTAAGTTGGATTAACCATAAGAGCAATGGGGTGATTGCCCGAGGCCTGAGACCTCTAAAGGGCCTGGGAGATTGACAAGCAAAAATATCTGGTTAGATCTCGCTTTATGTTAACCTATAGTGCCTGCATTACACTAGTTTGTTTGTGTCATTCATATACAAGTTCCCAGCCCACATGAAGGTTATCGGTTGACAGTGAAATGTGCCAAAAACACATAAAAAGGACTTAAAACAACTTGTTAAATACAGCGTAACATTACACTGCAAAGAACTTTGTCTTCTCTCCTACTCTCTACAAATAAAATCCATTAAAAATATTTAAAAAATATTTCACATAATACACTAGGAAGTCAACAGAGATGAGCAACAAAATAAATGTAATATAGGGTTGGATACATTAGCAGACCAGCTTTTCCTTGTACATAAGGAATAATTTGCAGTGAGCGTTACAAATATTATACTGTAACCTGTTCCCATCCCAGCTACTACCTCTCTTACAACTTTTATTGTAGTTCATCAGCTGCGTTTCATCAGAGTTATCATCCCTTCAAGCTCCAGTCATATTACTAATGATAAAACCTGACGTCAACACAGCCTTGTTAAAAAAAAACAAAAACACACAGCCCAGTATTCCCAGTCAAATGGTTTTCCCAGAAAACTGTGTGTGTGTGTCTGTCTGTGTGTGTGTGTGTAGGGAGAAAAGAGAGTAGATGGGGGTGGAGGGTGCGTTGGATTTGCGCACGCGGGTGTGGTGATTGGTCACCTCTACGTATGAGAGGATGCTTGTCAGCCTGCAGTTGTGTGCTTTTAAACTGCGGCGGGCAGAGGGTACAGCGGTCAGACCACACAGCTGCCGGGGACCGAGTTCAACGAGCCGAGCCGAGCCGAGCCGAGCCGAGCCGAGCCGAACCGAACCGAACCGCATCGAAGTGAGAAGTCCGGTGAGAACCACAAGGCAGAGCCTCTCCAAAAAGCGCGCAACTAACACAGAGGAAGAGGAGCGAGGACACTCAGAGACATGATTCTGTCAACTGTGCCACAGCCTTTTCTTTTATGTTTACTCTGGTTTGTTGGATGTTGGAGCACAACAGGTGGGTGATCTCTACTGAAATGGATTAATACACAAGTGAACCTGTAAACTGTGTGGTCAAAAATTAGTCTTCTAATTGGACCTTTATTGTGGATTTTCCCTCTTTGTTTTTGGCTTGGATTTTGTTTGTTTTTTAAAACACATCTAGTAGGTTAATCCTGGGGTGCACAAAGGATGCAAAGTTACAGCTCATTATAGAACAATAGAACAATATTATAACTCTAGTATATCATATATAGTGATGGAAGGAGATAAAATATAAAGTATGATAAAGTTTATTTAAAGTGATAAATGCCATAAAGTACTTTTTTCAACCTTACGCAAAAAACAAGTGTTTTATAACGTGTTACTAATGTCTTCATTGATTCTTATTAAGTAAATTTGCTTCATACTCAAGCAGTTAATCAGAATTATTAGGTGGAATTGGTTGGTGAATATTTTCTTCAAGGACACAAAAACTTGCCTTGTTGTTTTAGTTTGCTCTTTCATTCATCAGACATCAGAGCTGGAAATTAATTAATCGATAGCTGATAAATAGCTTAATTAATTAATTAATTGATTAATTAATCTATAAAGGTGCATTGTTTTTTTTAGACGATCATTTATTTTGCATATAAAATCTGGACCTACAAAATAAGCAGTAACTTTATCTTTCAAATGCAGTAAAATGGAATGAATGGAATAAAGTGGAACTGAAGTATGAAGTGATATAAAACTGAAATTCTCAAATAATACGCAAGCATTTCAAAATTATACTTAAGTACAGTACTTGGGTAAATATATTTAGTTACTTTAATCACCAAGTGACTTAATACGAAGCTGAAAATGGACCTGCTGTAGTTGAAAGTTTGTGCTCTGCTACTCCACTAACCACACCCACACAGCAACAGTGACTTCAGGATGTACTGAACACATCCTGAGCAAAACATCAGCTTCACTTTCGACCACTGGAGTTCAGTGAAAAAAAAAAAAGACTTTCAGCTGGTGTTAAGTTACCATTCAAGTGTTGAGACTGAGGGATACTCCTCTACAGTGAACAACATTATCTCAAGATACTGCGGGTTATAATTAGATTTAAAAAATTTTTTTTTTAATTTTTTTAGAAAGCCTCTAGATTGATTTTCATTAAAATGTAGTTTCTTATCTCTGATTGTGGAGCAGAGGCAGGTATTGGTCTGTTTGTAGCTATAGCTATAGTATTTCCTGTCAGCCCTTATAAGAATAATGTACAAAGATTTTTATAGAACATATTGCTAAAATTAAGTACAATAAAATCACAACACAAACACCTTTAGAGTCCTATGGACTATATACTATTATAGTATTGTTGTATAACGTATTCATTATTGTAATGGCAATAACGTGTTTGTACCATATAAACACTTCCATTGGTATAAATGACTGAAACATGTGCTCTGTACCCAGATGCCAGCCCCTATGATCGGTGGGAAGATGGCTTGGCGTTAAGACAGGTACTGACTTATCTTTTCCACATTTTAACTTGTTCCTATTTCATTATGACTTCCTGACAACTGCATGCGTGTTTTTTTTTTCTTCTAAGTCTCTCTCCTTTGGTCCCATTTCCACAAGTGATGTTTGATTCTTATGATAAATTATTTCCAGGTTGTGAGTAAAGAAATGAACATTATTAAAGGGTTTGCACAGAAAAACAGAAGGGCAGTCAGAGGAGGCGTGGTGGTTGAAGAGTCCTCACACTGATCATGAATCAACAGCTCTATCACATTTTTCTAACTCAGTGGTTAACCAACATCTTGTGTCTGCGCAATCTCATGTGATCACCACCACCTATGGTCTGTAAGAACAACAGAACAACACAAAACAGAGATAAAGTATTATTGGACCAAAGAATGAGTCCATAGAGCCACTGTTCTGCAGATGTTGAGTCCAAATGTAGGAAATATAACATCTCTCTTGTTTCTCCTGGATGCTGTAGAGGTCAGTGTTGAAACTCAGATATAGCACCAGTGTTGCTTTCCACTGTTCATTCGTAATGAATTGTGTTGTTTTGTCTGCAGGTGCGCGGCATCCAAAGTGATGATTTGAGTGACGTTCTGTGGAGAGACCAGAATGAGGTGGGTGACTTTAAACTTTAAAGATACACAACAGTATTTTCTGTCAGATTTACCACGTCAGTAAATTAACTGTAAACACAACACTGATGGTCTGGTTTGTTTATCGGCTCTTTACCAGGTCTGTTTATACAAAACTAATTTCACGTTTTTAGAAAAGGGGTTTTGTTAAAGTAGAAACACATTTTCTGAAACTGCTGATCACAACCTGAAAGCAAGATTTGGACACGCCTCCATCACAGACATAGGTGGTGCTATTATGTGGCAAGGGGCTAAATGATCATAAAATTATTATATTGCAGCTTTTTATAAATTAAGTGGTTTGTGATTTCTGTGCAATTATACTATGTGATTTTGTGACTCTCCACAGGAACAAGTCCAGAATGTTTTCAAAAGAGTAAGTTTTCCTCCTTATTTTTTTTCAGATTTCTAATATTTGCTCAGCAGCAGCTCACTGACTGAAAATGTCTCCTCTTTGTTTTCAGTTTCTGTTTCATTACTCCAAAGCACGTAACTCTGTTGGAGCTGTACAGCATGAGGTGAGCAGAGGAACAAATCGTCTTGTACGGTCATAGTGTCTTAAAATGTTGGATCAGTTGCCCATAGTGGTTGATTTGACTCCTGCTGGTTCACTCTGAGAGCTCACAGTGAACGAGACCAGGTGGCCGTTACTCCTTAAAGACATTCAAAAGGTGAATGACATCATTTTAGAAAAATATAATCTTTTGACCTCTGTCTGCGTAAGTAAATGACATCCGCTGCTCCACTGACAGTGAGGAGGTTCCTGACTTTTCTGGTGCTTGAAGCTGAATCAAAAATAAATTATTACTTTACATTTTGGTTTTGCTGCAAGGTGTGAACCTGAATTAAAATCTCTTTTCTAGGGCTGCAGGGATGAACTAAAATGACACTCTTTTGACACTTTACTTTGAGAAATACATTCTTTCCCCTACAAAAGCCTTTGTCTATAACCGACCAAATAAGAATTATATAACTAAAAACTGGCAAAATAATGATTTAAATTAGAAACCATCAGATAACAGAAGTGACATTCAATAGAAGTTCACTACCAAAAAAGTTTTGATCTTTTTTATGCAGCTAAAATGACGTGATTGTAAGAAGTCAGTCCATTCACTGGACTGATTCCTTGGACTTCCTACAGTAGTATTATGATCTACCTCACTGCAAATAAAGCCATTGTAATATTTTGTACTTTCACTAATTATAACAGCACCTACAAAGATTGAGACCCATGTCAATTTTGATCAGTGTCTTTGTTGATCCGAACACGGCCTTAAAAATTTATACAAGTCTGCTTTGAGTTCACTCAGACATCCGCCATGTCAAACAGCAGGTCATCATCATTAAGAAAACTCTTCTCTTTCCTCCTCCAGTCTCACTCCGTTCACCCTCTGATGCGACTGTCGCCTAAGCTTTCCCAGAGGAGAAAGAAGGTGCTACTTCTGGTGAGAAAACTAAAGTTACATTCATGGTTTAAGTCTGTAACTGTCAGCTGTATGTTTCTAGAAGATCAATAGATGCTGTTTTTTATAGAAGATTAAAGCTATGACCCCTCCCCCCACAGGAACATGAGAAAATGCTGTAGGAAGAGAATGCACACAAGAAACAGTCATGTCAAAACCATAAACATTGAAAAAGTATCACAGACACATGAAAAACTATTTTTAGGCAACATTTCTGGGCAGGAATTTGAAATATTCAAGTTGCAGGAGTGTGTTAATTCAGTTAAGACACAGAGGAAGCTTCTTGTTTTGGCGTGTTTGAGAACAGTGACTCCAAACCTCTGCCGCTGGAGACGCTTTAAAATGAAGCAGCATCTAAGGCAAAACGATCCAGTATTTAAAAGTAGTTCAGTATTTTGGGAAATACACTAATTCCCTTCTTGTCAGGAATTATGTAGATGAAAAGATCAATACTAAGATAAGCTAACCATCTTCTGGCTGTAGCTTAATATTTAACAGATATGAGAGGGATGAAATCCTTCTAACTCTGCCAGGATGCCTGAATTATTTTATTGGCAAAAAAAGAAAAAAAATTACGGAAGAGTCTGAGAAAAAGAATCTAAATTTGAGTAGTAGAACATAATTTTTCATGTTTCCCATTCAATTAATCATTGTGTAACGCACTTGAGAGGGAACAATGCCTATTAAGAATGAACCTTTTCAGGAAGCTTCCTACTCAGGTAACAAAGAAGTAGTGACAGTGATCAAGAAGGCGCCAGTATAAATCACGTTAAACGACATCACTGTTCAGGTACGATTAACTGCTGACACTGACTTCTCTCTGTCTCTCTCTCCATCTTGCTAATGAAACAGAAGATTTGAAACTGCCCGAGGGGATGTTGTAAAAGAAAACCTGAAAAACGAAAAGGAAATGAGAACAGAAGAAGAGCAGCAAGCGGCTTCTCCTCTGGACATCCCGTCCAAAATCAGCTGAAAGAGCGACGCAGAGAATCTCCAGCAGACTTTTTGTTCACAGAAAATAAATTATTGTATAGATGGAAAAATATATATAGCACTGCACTGTCATGGCTGCCACGTGTCTTCCTGCTTCCAAATGTCAATTGGTGTAAGTTTGTGGTGAAATGTTCCTAAGTGCAAATTTGGCGTGATGCACTGTTACACACGAAAGGGGGGTGTCACAAAATACAAACAAAACACTCAAAATAAGCTCTTAAGCAAGTTCTTTATGGTCGACAGTGACACAGATTATTAAAAAAAAAAAAAAAAAAAAAAAAAAAAAAAAAAGAGAGGCTCGTAGAAAAGAAACCATTATTGTGGCAAAGAGGTGAACTCACATTTAATTTAACAGGTTTAAATACAGTACATGTACTTTTTGTGACAAACTGATCAAACATAATAAAAAAGTTAAAATTTGTCTTTGATGCTTTTGTAAAGATTCAGGTGAAGTTGGACGTTTTTTCAAATTACAAAAGGGTGACTGTTGCGCTGTGAGACGTACAGTGAGGTTCAACAACAAGATCATGGGTTCGATTCTCTCCTGCCAAGTGTCCTGTCAAAGTTCCCCTGAGCAGGACTGAGCCCTGTGTAAGAGCGCCACCTACATGGTTAAAATATGAATTGTACTTGCTTATAAAAGGAGATACCGTCTCTGCACGAAGCATCGTCAAACGTTTCAGGGTCCTTTGAGTGTTTCCCACACAGCAGCCACATGGTCTTCCTGGTTTAGAGTGACAGGCATTGTTTTCCTAATAGTCCTCGTCCTCAGAGTCACTGTCCTTTCGTGTAGGGAGCGAACATCTGATTGATGACATTAGCTTGTCTTCAATTTGCTTCTTGGGGTTTTCCTCTAGCTCTGTCTTCACTGCCCCGGTCTCTGATAACCTCCACTCCAGCTCTGGGAGAGACACAAGGCAAGTTACAAACCCTTCACTTCACGTAAAAGTTGCGTTAAAAAAAACAAAAAAACAGACACAATGAAACAACAGCTTGTCTGTGATGCAGTTTTTAAGTGAGCAACTTTTCCTCCTACCTTCAACTTTGAGGTTCATGCCTCCAAAGACCAGGGGTCCGATGAACTGCGCCTTCATCTCCCCCTCAAAGTAGACAAAGATGGTGGGCAGGTTACGGTCGGGGTAGTTGGGGATGCAGGTGGTGGAGATGGACTTGAGGAACTTGGTCTGGGGGAACTTCCTGGCCAAGATGCTCAGGTGCTGGTTGATGAGGGTGCACAGAGGTATGCTGGGAAACAACATGAACGGAGAAGACAGAGTTGAAAGAGCTGTTAGTGCTGCACTGTCACTTTGCATTTAGGGGGTCAGAAGAAAATAGTGAAACGTTCCCAACACAAGTTCCAGATGATGCAGGGTGAAAAAAAAAACCATTTTTTTTATGAAGATAAAAGCAGAGAATGTTTTAGATCTTTTATTGACAATTTACTGAACTGAAGTGTTGCTGATTTTCTGTTATTCATCTAATCCATTAATTAACTTTTAGCACCAAAAAAACACAACAGACAGTATTTAGGTTTGGGGTTTAAGTCCTGCTCAACATGTACACTCTCATATTCAACCAGAAGGTATTTTGGATTAAAGTTTTCCCAAAACTATGAGTTTAGCAGAGGACAAGCAAATATTCTCAACCCAGACAAGGGTCTGGGGTCTAAAGGGTCAATTCACCCAGCTCTTCCAGCAGCATACAATTCACTCAACTCATAATATCAACTCAGTTTTTTTTCTGCACTACATCTACAAGCCTTCAAGAGTTTTTGTCACGTTCAAGTGCTTGATGTGGTTGGATGACCTACCCCTGTTTGTAGAGGTGCAGCACCACCCAGATGCCTTCCCCAGCCTGGTTGACCTCCTTGACGTAGTCTTGCCCTGAGATTTCCCCCAGCTCCTTGAACACATTTTTCATCTGAGTTGCCTTCCACTCTGCAAGACGCTTTTGTCTGCAAAGAGACGCAACTCACGTCAGTATACAGACAGACTGAACTGAGAGTCTCAGTCAGAGATTCAAAAATTCATATGAAAATGGTGAGTAGATTTTTAACTACAATATTTGGGATGAAATGGACATGAAATTTTACAAACACACTTTATGATGAATTGACAAATATAGCAGAACCCAGTGTCCATGAGGTGCTCAATACACCAATCCCCTGCCTGCATAACCTCCACTCACCTGTACATCTCGATGGCAGCTTCATCTTCCTCACCAAACTCATCTTCATTCTCCTCCAGTTCTTCCAGTGTCATGCTCTCATATGTTTTAACTGTTCAGAGAAACAACAACAGTCGCAGCAGCTGATTTGACATGTTCTGAAAATAACTGTGTAAACAGTGATCAGTTGAATAGGGTCAAATTAGCCGACACTGAACTTTTTTTAAAAATATTACATTTGATAGATTTTTTTCATGGTTTTCATTTGTACATCTGCAAATAAAACCAAACAGGGTAAACTGTAACTTTGAACCACATTTTGTGTGGTTGAAACATGCATTTCCCACATTAAGCCACAAAGAAATACTGATGTGTACACCAGCTTACCGACAGACTGCTGCTGGAGAGCCAGCTCCTCCTCCTCCTCATCCTCTTTAGGTGTCTCTTTGGGAGGAAGAATGCCTTTCTTCCTCAGGATATCATTCCACTCTGTGTCTTCGTTTGGGTCCTGGGGAGAAAACAAAGCACATACACAGGTCCCTTTTACAAAGTACAGAAAGTGAGCGTATAAAGGCAATATACTTGTGTTACCACTATCTGAGTGGATTTTATTGTGGATCTCATAATAACAGCTTGATTGTTCAGACACTTAAATGTGAGGATTTCCATTTGACACTGCAACGCTGAAGTTAGTTTCTGAGTCATAGCTTCCGATTTAGTAGTTAAGGGGATACTTAAGGAACACTTAAGGTACAATATTACCTTAACTTAACCAACTTTTCCTTTAACTTGAGAATTGGAAGTTTACGTCAGCATTTTGGATTACTGTTGCAATTTGAACATTTTGTGAACTGACTACAGGTTAAGTCGAAATACATCACAGCCCGACGACATTTCTACTACCGCTGTGTCACTTAAGAGTATTTAAGTTTTCGAGGCCGTTATCAGCTAAATTTCTGTCTACCACGTAATCGATTGATCACAAACCAGTTCAGCCTTAGTACCAGCTAATTTGATGTTCATGTTCTTTGTGTATGTGTGTGTGTCTTGTACAGGTTTGGAGTATTGAGCAATCTGCTAGCTAACGGTGAAGCTAACTCTGAACTGTTGATACGCCCAGCTTCACTGCTAGCTAAGTTCCACAGCTCTGCTCTAAAATGATCTCGATACACTTCGTCGACAACAGCCTCTGTTAAATTGTCTCATTAAGCAACATCAATCCACAGCGTTTAAAAGTCTCATGAAGCTTTTACCAACCTGCATTTTAAAAGATAAGTCTCCTCAGAAACCACACCGCTGCTCTCCTCAGATACGGAAACAGAAGGACCGCACACGCACCGATTCCGGCAGGAAACAGAAACGAACAATTTTTTCAAATAAGCACACAGTCCGTCCAAGGTTAAAGTAAAAACACTTTAGCAGAGTATATTTGAAGTCAGGTAAGTTTGTCTCTCTTCTTTGACGCTACGATGGGTAATTTCAGTTTTAAAAGACGTGGAACAGATGCTTAATGGGTGGGACAATAATAAAAGTGACACCAACATCCTCTTGAGGCTCAATATGACCAAATAAGGAGCGAGAGCGCAGCATTCCATTTGTGGCTCACTCAAACCAAACAGGTGCTTACACACACACACACACACACATACACACACACACACACACACACACACACACACACACACACACACACACGCACACACATTTTGTAAGGCATTCCCGTTAACTCCATATTTTTTTTTATATTTATAGATTACACACGGATTGTCAATCTATTTGCAGAAATAACATTGAACCTTTGTAGAAATCCCATTCATAGTTTTTGAACAGTGACAGTTCAAATTTCATGAACGTTTCTGGACCTTTCTGGATTTTTACATTTGTGTGTATGTGGCGGAAAGTTCACAACACAGAGCGGGTGACGTCACATGGAGAGAGGCTGTTCAACTGCTTAGAGAGATTTCTGTTTTACTCATCCTCACAGCCACAAAGTTTCAATAGCACTAAATAGGCTACTGCATATCACAGTGGATCTTTGTGCCATGTATGCCCTGGTAAAACAAGCTGCTGCCACTGACAAGGAAGTGACATCCTCACTGATGACCTGCCTTGATGAGAGGACTGAGAGATTTCATTTTCATTTTGACCCCAAAAGAGGATAGTGACGTAAACGTAAATGCAGTGGACTATGGGCGTTGTTTTCTTATTGTTTTTGAATATGGTCACTGTAGAGCAGGTTAAGTCTTGGAAAATTAATAGTCCATAGCTTTCAGTTTCCATCCATTGAACGCCCACATTAGTATCTGAAAATGAAAATACAAATTGGATTACTGCATTTTCTTTTTATTTGTCTTTTTTTCGCTAAAGATTCTCTCTGATGTCTAGCTTTAGGAAAGATAATACATACTTAACTGTTCTTGGGCACAGGAATAACATATGTGACATTTAAGCCTTTCATTTAGTCAAAATTACTTTCAAATGGACTGTATGTTTATGAACGTTGTGGTTATTATTTATTATTAACTTCCTGCACAGCTGCCGCTGGACTTATACTTGTAGTTTACCTTCACTTACTGCTGCAGTTTATGGAGTTTTGCTGCTGCTTATGGACGTGATGTTTGCTGGTTGACTCTGTGTCCATGAAGATGTAAGCACTCATGTTGTGTAAAAGTGTCTTTTAGTAAAAGAGCGTGTTATGAAACCTGATTCCATCCTGCATCTAAGGGAAGGGCTGGCATGGGGAAAAGAGCAGGAAATTAACAAACGCCATTCAGGCCAACCGCCGAACAGTACTGTGCCGCGTCAGACGCGTGTGGTGTGCTTCAGGTCTGGTTGTGGGTTGTTGGACTCCAGCAACCAGTCGGACCGCACTTCTTGCATACTGCTTTCATATCCTGTTTGCACGGAGAAATCAACTGCACGGAACCGGAGGTAAGTCAGACAGTGTCCAACGGGAGCTATCTTTCTGGCTGGGCGCATGGCCCCCAGAATGCCCCCAGTGGGCTAGCCGCCTCCCCAACCATTAGCATAAGCATTAGCTAGCACCTAGCTTGCTGGCATAGTTTATTGACGAATGAATTAAACAATTGCAACATAAGACTGCAAATCAAAATCTAAAAAAAAGTGACTACTAAGTGACTTTAGAATACTTTGTAAATCCATTGATTGATCTGTGAAACTAAAATCTCTTAGTATTCTTTCCTACCAGATGCTCCAGATGGAGTTTTTGTACCAAAAGGTGTAATATATATTATATACACTTGTATTCATGCATAACTGGTTTTGGCAGAAACATTCTAAAATGTCATTTAATTAACATTTACAGTGGTTTTGTATGTTTTATGTTTTGTGTATGTATGTTTGCATGATGACTTTTCATTTATTCTTTCTAAATAAACATCTTTTCCAAAATAGAGTCTAACGTCTCAACATTAACAGTGTTATCCATGTTAATGTTTATCTTCATTTATTTATGTCATCTCTGACTGGATATTTATTATAATGCTGTATATGGAGAAGTTATAGCCTACATGTAGAAAATACCAATCATGCTGTAAACAGCAAATGGACTGAATGATTACAATAAATTAAATGGTAAAGAAATGACACCAGTTATCTCTTTACAGGTTGGATGGCTATGAAATGTGGTATATTTACAATGAATCTTCATCATCACAGTGTATAAAATCCAGCACCCTGCTTTCATTCCCTTAGTCTGCAACATGAATGTTTACTGTCGCCATGGCAACGAGTGCCGATGTTGTAGTCAATGTTAACTTAGCCTACATATTAACAATGAACTATAAAATTGTAAGACGTCACTTCTTAAAACAAATATCACCACCAACAGCCATACTATCAACGACCTTAACCAGGTCCTGACACTTCATATCTTACAAATTATTTTGGGAAGAAAAACTGCTCGTAGAAGACCGCGAGCTCTTACTTTGAAAAGTGAAAATGGCGTCGTCAGCAGGCGATCACATGTTTTCCGAAAGTGGCCGAGTGATACGAGCCGATTTTCGTTTAGACTGGCTGAAAGTTTGTCTCAAAACTGTTTCCACACGCGTAGAATCGAGACACGCAAATGCTTTTTCGCTTCATAAATAGAAAATTGATTTATAAATGTCTGTTTTAAAGTTGTAAATGTTAGGAAGATATCCACAATGTTTTTCATTTATTTCTAAAATAGTTGAATATATTCACAGATAAGTTTTATTCGTGGAATTTGTTTTACCCTATATTAGCTAGACATTTTTGTGTGTTTTGTTTTGTGTGTTTTTTATTTGACACGGATTGTCAATTTGTTCACACAAATATTTTTTTCAAATCTACCTCCATACATTTAAATCACTTTGGATATTATACTGCATCAACCAACGGCCTTAAATGTAAAATTTAAGTAATTATTAATAGTTATTATATGTTGTCATTCAGGTATCATCATCAATGGAATCAAAAACAGCGGGAAAAGACAGGATATTTAGAGCCTTCAGGCTCGATCTTTGTCTTATTAATGAATGGACTGAATAACAAATGCCTTTGTGTGATAATAATCGTACTGAACACCTGAACGCTCTGTCAGGTCAACAGCCAATCACAGGACCGCTAGTGGCTCTCTGCCGGAACTGGCGGAAGGGAAAGTTGGTGAAATACGGAAGACAAGAAAATAGGATGAAGAGCTCTCACTCTGTTACGGTTTTTCAGGAACCAGAAATGTCATAAATGCCTTCTATATTTTATGATCAATCAATCAGTGAATCAATCAATCAACTACTAATAATATATTTATACTTATTTTGCTTTTACAGCTTGTGTAGCCTAAAGCTTTTTGTGTTTTGACATATGGCTGACTGATGCATTTATCTTCATATCAACTAAATAAAGTTTTTTTTTGATAGTAATACAGACAAAAATGACAAATCTGCTATATTATCGCAGGGTCTCCAGCTCAAATCTGCAGACATGCCTTTTTTATGACACCACAAATTTTTAATCTATCTAATCTGAACTATAAGGGCTTTAAATTCATGAATAAATTTGCTGTGGGTGTAGGCATTTCAATAATTTTAATGTGTGCGCTTCTAAGAAGTTCTTCCAGTTATTAAATTATCTTGATAAATTAATCTTTTTTTTAGTTTGATTCGGTTTGTGATCCTTCTCTTAAAAGTTGTGAGAATATGAACAGAGGTTTTGCAGATGTTCTTGTTCACCAATAACGAAAAAAGGCCAAATTAAATGGAGTAGAGATGATCAAAGTGTCAATAATATTTAAATATATTTATTGTGATTATTCGTAATATTAGGATCGAAAACGTTTTGCTAAATAATTTAAATTTCTTTTGGTATCCATGGTATAACCCGATTCAACTACAGAGGGAGTCATCGCTCACATAGATGATCTTTGTCTTGTGTGTACAGCTGCTGCAAATCGGGCGTGAGGGAGCAGACGTGAGGCGAGGAAGTCCGAAACCTGCAGCTGTTGGGTGAGCGCAGGATAATCATGGCTAAACCCGAAAACCCCCCGCTGTAGGATCATTCGGGCCGCTCCCGAGCCGGAGGACAGGCAGAGACAACTTTGTATACCACCGCTGCAGAGACCGAGACGGCGGAGGGCTTCCTCTGGTCCCTCCCTGCTGGAAGAAATGTGGCTGAACCCGGAGGAAGTTCTGCTGAAAAACGCTTTGAAGCTCTGGGTGACCGAGAGGAGCAACGACTTCTTTCTCCTGCAGAGGAGGAGAGGCCACGGAGAGTCGACCGGCAGGATCACAGGTAAATAAAAAACAACTATAACACAACAAAAATAACATGCAAAGGAGAGGCCAGACAAATAATACAGTCAGAACCACGGGTAAACAATGACAACATTGTAAAGGCAAGTGAAAGCCAGCTGTCAGAATAACAGGTAAATTACAAAATGACCAAAAACAGGAACAACAGGAAATTCACAGGAAAGGGCACAAAGAGCCAGCAGGCAGGTTTACAGGTAAACATGGGGGTGAGTCCAAGGGGGTGTGTCCGAGGGGGGTATCCAAGAAAGAAGGATTAATGAGTTAACTAGATTTGGTGAACCAAAATTTAGGGGAATCCTGGATTATTATTAATCCTGGATTCCAGTAAACAGGGTTGACAGGAATGTCCCTGTTCCAGATACATGTGTATATTGCTATGGCAACAGAAACATTATAAGTATGTGGCAGGTTAACACAACCTTAACCACTGGCTCTGAGCCAGTTTTCAGGCTCCAGCTCTTAACTATGGGGCTCAACTAACACATTGATTTCTATAAAAGTCTGCACCCATCCTTTGTTTCACAGCAAAAGTGTTGTACACAGGTCTCAAAACCTCAGGCACTACCGCACCTATTTAAGGTTTATATGCAGAATATAGAGGGTCAAAAGTCTAGCCACTCTTGTCATAACAGTCAAGACCGAAGGAATACAAACAGAGCTAACTTGACTTTACTAGTTAGTTAATATTGGTTTAATTAACTGCACTTAACTTTTCCACAACAGGTGTTTGCTTTTTCTGCTGTGAGATGTTGACATGTCAACAACAAAATTAAAATATTAAAAATAATAAAATAGACTGGAGCCATAGTTTATGTGTTTTGCTACAATGACAAGTCCAAATGTATTCACTTTGATTTTATTTATGGTGGTCTATGATTTTTCAATCCTTATACAAAAACCTGTGTCTTCTGTACCTTTTCACTTGATGTGACGTGTGCTTTGTCACATCTGTGATGTGTGATCTGTGTTTAAGTTGCATCCAGTCACAGATGTCTTTTAACCAGGCTGGAATTAGCATGATTGTGTTAGCTGTGTGGAAGTAATTTATGTACTTATGAAATGGTTAAAAACTGAATAAGCATTTGGGTTAACTTAAGTCAGGCTTATGCAAATAATCCTTTAGCTTTTCTCATCCTCCTTTATAATACACCTGCCAGCCGGAGCCAACATGCAGTAATACAGCAAACAAAACAATATTGCTTTGTTTTGTTACATAACACAAGGTTCATATTGGAGATAAAACGGCGTTAACTGATTAGCTGATCGACAGAAAATTAATTCTGATAACTTAATTGTTTGAGAGACTTTTCTTTTCCCCACCGTCTGAAATGTGGGGATTTGCCACTTCTGTTTTATCTCTTTGTAAATTAAATGTCTTTGGTTTTTGTTGATCATACAAAACAAGCAGTGTTCAATATTATTTGCTTATAGTTCTGTTACTGTTCTCTCTTTATAATGGTTAAATAACTGTTAAAAATTAATAAATTGTAAATCTAAAAAAACATTTCTTTTGTCTCATACATATTATAAGAACCGTAGATATCCTGTATTGGTCATTTGTCCTTTCTGGGACTTATGCGGATGTTTTGTTTGAAGAATCCCCAAACAAAGGCCAGTTTAATCTCCACTGTGTGTCTGGGAAACAGATCTCTCTCTGTAATTTCCTGTTGGAGAATGACAGGTTTTGTCATTTGTTGGAATTGTGTTGTGCTAAATGTTGAAGGTGGTGAAAATGCTTGTCACCGTGTCATGATTTAAACTGTTCACCCTGCAGAACAAGTTCTATCCCTGTATCATTATTATACAAATGTCTGGGCACGTGCTGGTTGCAGCTGTAGTCTGTCTGACTGCTTCACATCGCTGTGAATTACAGCTCGGCCTGTCTGATGTTTCCTCTGCTTTGCTTCCTCTCTGTGTTTTGTATTGTGCAACAGGATTTACTGACCTGCTGGTGGTTGACTGTACAGTACATTTATGTGATGAGGGACATATCATGTAATTAAGTCAGGCAAACAACTCATACAGTCTCTTCCTTATAGTCTCTCTTCTTCCTTGTGGTGAAACCAGCTCTCTGCTCATAAAGTAGAAGAGCTGGAACTTCCTGGTTGGAGTTTTCTCTGTGTGTATGTTTGTTCCCGTTGTTCCCATAGCAAGAGGGGTTAAGGGTCAAGTCCTGTTGTCCCGGCGTTTAAAATTAACTAATTGAATGACCTTCTCTTTGGCATTCCTGCCACACGGGAGGAGCAATGTTGTCTATTGTACCACACAGATATAATTTTTTTTTAAGTTTCCAGCTGTTTAAGATGAAAGCAGAAGCTGAAATTCAATGTGCTCTCAAAGCTGTTAAGATACACTCTCCAAGCCCTATCACACCACTGACACACTTACAGCAGGATTTCTGAGAGGGGCTGGGCAACTAAACATCTGCAGCTGATCAGTCTCTTCATACCAGTCTTTGTCTTTTTATTTCTAACCAAATATTTTTCTCTATAAAGCTGAAACACTCTTTAAGTAGTCTCTTGCTTGTCTTTAATGTTTGTGTATTCAACCTGTTTCCCTTCATTTAATGCTCTGACAGGAAGCAAGACAAGAACAAGGCGAATAGCTAATTCATTTAGATGCTAACAGACATTACAGTCTTGGAGATGTCAAGGCAGAGCTCTGTTCTGCTGGGTCGGTTGACTGTAGCCTTCATGTCTCCCACATCAGTATTCCCCCACAACATGACCATTAGCAGAGAAAAGGCGATGATTCATACTGACTCCCTTCTCACTTTCCTTCACTTCTGGAAAGTTTACCAGCGTAAACCTCTTCTGGGCTTTGTGGTGACAGACGGATGGTTTTGTGTTGCCAGGCTGCTGGGTGCGCAGCTTCAGGCAGGTCGACTTTGACTCTGAGATGTGGTTTACATTTGGCTGAGAGCCAGAGCTGTCTGTTGGAAGAGAAATTATATTTACACTTCTCCACTTGCATAGGTTCCACCAGTATGGGCTTTTTGAAGGCTATACTATTCACTGTTGGACATTTGTAAAATTAACAAAAAACAGCCTTTTAAACAGCATTTTGATTCTCACAAAATGATAAGAGTCTAAGAGCGAATCCCATTCTGATGAAATACTTTCAGAGTTAGTTGCTGTTTTTAGCAGCTTCAGGTGGTTTCACTGCAGGTTTTATAGGCTGACAACCCTGAAGTTGTTGAGTTAAAACATGTATTCAACCTTCAGTATGTGAGAGAACTGATACCGATTCCTCATCCTTCTCTGGTATAGGTGAACGTAATCATTTTTGTGTATACCACACTTCCAACCACAGACATCTGATTGCCCTTATTTGTCCAGTCATAACTTTGACATGCAGGCTTGTATTTAGCTGGGGTACATTGGGTTGATCTGACAGATAAAGCTGCCTTAAAGTTCAAAGTAAAGTTCTATGAATAGAATACAAGTTGCCAGTCCCTTAAAAGTCACTATGTTTGTCTGGGCTGGTTATGTATAAATCGTCTAAAGTAGAGTCCTGAACTTTGACTTATAAGTAAAAGAAAGACTTGGTAAAAACTTGAGCTTTGAATAAAGATGCCAAATGTAACTTTGACCGAAGTCTGTGTGTGAATCTGATGTGGCGACTGCAGTGATTCCCACGTTTGTAAAATATATACAGACTACAGTTCTGCCTACCTAAAAAGGCCACGCTCATGTACTGAATCAGCCAATGGCAGACTTCCAGAGAAGGTTTGTGATCACTTCATCACAGCTTAACGCATACCTTGTCATGATTAAAACTCCCCATCATTCATTATATCTAATGCTTGCATGCTTCAGTACACAGAGACATGTAAGAGCAGAGCTTATGTAAGACATTTTCCCTGCAGTCATGTCATGTTAACAATAATAAAATATGCTAGTGGGGATATTATCCATACAAATCTTAAATGACTTAAAAAAAAAGAGTTCATAACCATTTTAAGTGCAGAGGTCCTCTTACATTTTTTGCCGATTTTCCAATTTCCATAAAACCTTTTCTGGCAAGTTTCTATATTCAGAAACATTTTAATCTGTATTTTCTTATTGATCATCTTATTGAATTCAGCAAATGTTATATGTATTGGACGTCATCATACATTTCCAACAAATAGAAACCTGCTGGTCAAATCCAACTGACTTAGGAGACCTCAGGGGCTCTCTAAAATAGTTTGGGAGCTGAGACCAAGTCTGAACAGTTAATGCAGTTATTGTAAACTTCTTTTTCCCTTTCCCTTTATATAAAAGGCGCCCAAGTCTTTATGTTGGGTTAAAGCCTTAGAGGGCTCAAACACTATATATGATAATGGTGAGCTATCCTAGAAAAAACACACAAGCAACCAAAAAACTTCCACACCCAGTCACATGCTACCACATTCATACCACATGCATTCTTTCTGTGTCTTCACTCAGAACAAAACAGTGTGCAACAGAAGTACTAACGCTGATTCTTGAATACTGTAAAATATTTTCAACTTTTTACTTTAGCAGATCCTAAAGTATAGATGTGTGACTGTCAGGAAGCTGTGATGGTGGTTAAATATGATAGTTTTTACACCATTTTTAAGATTTTGTCATAAAGGTGAATGTGTAAAATCAGCTGAGAGAGTCACAGTTTCAAATCGTTTTTTTTAAGGCAGAATATTTATGAACTCAGCTTGTGTTTTCTCACTGAGGAAATACAGAATTTAAAAGGACCACTGAGAGAGTTGTTATTGGAAAAGTGTGATGCAGATTAGTTGTGGTTAACGAAGATGAGAACGTGATGACAGCAGCCTTTTGAGACAGAGCTTCAGCCTGCTCAGAGAGTTTGGATCTGTGTGTTCCTGCACTGTTTCTATTTGCTCGATGATTGAAATGCATGAATTCATTCAACATTATTGGTTCTTGGGGGTTGATTTTATTCTTCAGAGCATCTGTGGAGTTGATTGCAACCGTAGAGATCACCAAAGTTTTCTCTAAACAGATTTCCTACTGGATTTTTAGTATTAAAATTTAATTGACTGTTTTAGCTGTCCACTGAAGAGACAGGAGTTTATCACCTGCCTGATTACAAACTGAGGTCCTCCTGTTTTTAAATGAGACGCATCTAAACTGTTATAAGAACAAATCATTTGTTCCCCTCCTCCCTGCAGTGCTGCCTGTGTGTCTGTGCTCTCTAGTGCTCTGCATTGTGTTTAAGCCTTTGTAAAGCAAATATGTTTGTTGACAGAAACATTTCTGTTGCAGTGACAAATTTACATGGCTAACATCCCAGCTCACCATTAATTTAAGGCATGTTTCATTATAAGTTTTACTGATTCAGGGCAATAATTGCACAAGGTTTCCTTTTCTTGAATTAATTCCCAACTTTGATTTGAATTTTTATGAAACTGTATAATTACAAGCAGATAAAAAATAAAAATAAATTGGTATAATAAATTCTGTAAAATGCGTTGAAATATAAAGACATTTGAAAACAAAGTGATAAAGAACTACTGGTGGTGCATCATAACAATGGTATTTAGAGACATAAGAGTAACATTAAAATTTAAATGTTAAAAAACATTAATGGTAAAGAAATTTAATGAATAGATGTAACTGAAACTTGCTTGTCTCGTCCTCTCCTCTTTGTCTCTCTTCTCTTGTGCCTCCAGTCAAAACCTCTCTGACCTCCTTTCGAGTTGCTGGTGTATTTGTGTCGTCCATCTGTGAAATATTATATGAACTCTTCACCTCTCTGTCCTTTTGTGAGAAACACAAAGAGAGAGACTGAGAAATGACATTCATATACTCACATGGTTGTTCATAGTAACATTAGTGAGATCGTGTTAGTTGAATGTGTTTATATTTGAATTAGTTTATAGATTAGTTAAGGAAGTGATGAGCACCAAAGTTTCACAATAAGAAATTTAATATTCAAATCTGCTTTACCTGAGTTCCACAAAATGTAGGCAGCACCTCTGCCGTATGTACACATATGCAGACTGTTGACATATTTTCAATTATTATTTTTTCTCGAATAATCAATTCATAATTTAGTTTTTAAAATGTCAGAAAATCGTGAAATGTTTCCACCCCAGGAAATTATTATAAGGGGCTTAATTATTTTTTGCTGATTACGTTGATCGATAATTCGTTGCATCTCTAAAAGAGTGTCGTGCTTAGTAATTGTTAAAAAAAAGAATTAAGCTAATGTCAAGAAGTTTGCTGCTGCTTGAGTCAGTTTGACCATGCTAAATATCCTTTTTTTCTTTTTTTTTTTTACAACAGCTCTACTAGCGCCATATTAGTTAAATAAGCAACAACAGATTATAATTTGTTTATTTATCTTATCATTTATTTGGCAACGCCAACACAAATAGTTCTGCAACTGGACTGTTGCTAATCAACACACACACATTTTCCTGACCTGCACAGTGCACACTAGCTTGATACTTGAGACTAGCCGTTACCTCAGGAGTGCGCCGAAGTATCCAGGCTTCTTCCCTTCATCCTTTTCTGATGACCACACATCATTTAACACAAATGTTATTTCTGGAGATATTTTCAGCTTTGCAAAGCCTGTTGCAATCTAAGATGGAAAACGACCGTTATTGTGACGCTGATTAACGGTTGATAAAACACCTGTGAAGCGGAGTGATACATGTAGTTAAAAGTCCCAGTGCTGTTCTTATCAGCACTCATGGAATGTCTCTCGTCCAATGAAATTACTTGGTCGGAACTAACTGTTGTGTAATATAACTTTGATTAGCTAGTTAGCGTAGCTACTTTATATACCATACTACCATGTAGCTATCTAGGGCCAATGTTAGTTAGCTTCTGAGGGGCTCATGTAATTAGTAACTTATTCAACTTATAGATATTGTATTGCCAGATATTGTATTGAAAAAAACCCTCATATCTCACACAACAATCAAATACAGTTAGCTAACTTATGCTAACACTGTGGCTCTGCCCACAGATATAGCTGCATATAATTTACTGCATTGAGGAGGCTTTTAGTGTGTTGTTGTCTAAAAAAAAATAATCACTGCTTTCATTATCACTGGTTTTTAGGTTGCATTGTTGGCTAATTTGACTCCACTATGCCAAGGCAATGTTATGGTTATAATAGTTCTCACTACAGAATTTAGACAGCACCACAAAACAGCAAACACAAAATAGTGGATGATTTACAGGACACATCTTATTACTGTTACCTGAGCTCTGTCTCTGGGATAGTTTAAATAATTTCAACCCTAGTCTGAATTCTGTGTTTTGTCGTCTCTGCAGGTCTCCTAGTGGGAGCACTGGACACGGTGCTGGACTCAAATGCCAGGGTCACCCCCTTCCGCATCCTCCTCCAGGTTCCCGGCTCCCAGATCAGCTGGGTCATCGCCAGTGGTGAGCTGAACCATCAAGCCTCTTTACTTTCCTGCTGTCCGTCTGTCAGCTACTCTCAGCTCTCGTTTTATCCGTTCATCGCAGATGGCGTTTGTGTCTGTGTGCTTTTTGTTTTTGCCATCTGTGGTCCAGGTTTGCCTGGGAAGGTTCCTGTGTTTTTCTGTACCCGCATCTGATTCATTCACAGCTGTTAAATCCCCTCCATGTTTTGTCTTTGTGTCCATCAGGAGCTGCCATAGAAGAGGTGAACAAGCACTGGGATTGGCTGGTCCACAACCTGCTTCACTCTCTGTCTGTGTTTGAGAACAAGGAGGATGTTGCAAGCTTTGTCAAAGGAAAAGTCAAGGTGGGAAAATCTGCCAGAGGATGAGTTTAGATTGTGAGATGCGTTGAAGATTTTCCTGTGGATATAAAAAGGATTTAAGGCATTTGTTGGATCAGAGTGAAATATCTACCTCACTATAGATTATATGATGATGAAAACTTAAATTCAGACGCCTTTGATGATGCAAATCTGTGTACAGTGTTATGAAGTAATGAGTTCATGCTCCCTCCTCTGTAGGGCCTTATCGCCGAGGAGGTTCGGGGCCGGCAGGCTGCCCAGGAGGAGGACCCGGAGAAGTTCAGGGAGGCGCTCATGAAGTTCGAGCTGCGCTTTGGCCTCCCGTCATCGGAGAAACTGGTGACGTACTACTCCTGCTGCTGCTGGAAGGGCCGGGTGCCTCGGCAGGGCTTCCTCTACCTCAGCATCAACCACATGGCCTTCTACTCCTTCCTGCTGGGGAAGGAAGGTCTGTACACCAAAGTGAGGGTTCTTATTTTCAAACCAAATGACCGAATGTAAAGTCAGCGAGGGAGTCATTCCCCACAAAAACCACACATGTATTTTGTTCACAACAGTTAACAACAATTATGCAGAAAAAAAAATGTGTGAAAACCATTAACCACTCCTGCAGAATAATCAGTTTCTCTGTCTCTTCGAAACAATTCTCGCTCTTCACACGTTAGTCTTCATCTGAAAAAGGTTTTCTGTTCTTCCTGTAACCTCACCAAATGTAAGCAAGTGAGTCAGATGCCAATCTAGATCACACCAACATGTTCACACGCTACTGTTGTGTCTCCATCCCTGTGATCAACTGTTCTGAAGTTGATAAAAGTAGATAAAATGTGTCTAAATGGCTGCAGTCTGGAGTCTTGGTTGTTGCCACTCCACTGTGTTTTTTCACTGCAGCTCAGCTGGTGCAAATTCATCACATTTTTTAAAATAGTTTTAGAAAGGTTTTTCTTTAAATTCTGCTTGAAAACACAACTATGTGATATGCCGTCAGTCTTAAGAAAGTTAAATGTTTTATGCTCTTCTTTCTTCCCCAGTCAAATTTGTCATTCCCTGGGCGGAGATGACACGGTTGGAGCGGGTCTCCACCGGTCTGATGACGGAGGCGATCCGGGTCAACACACGGCAGCGGCAGAGGGAGTTCTCCATGTTCCTGAACCTGGATGAGGCATTCGGGGTCATAGGTCAGCTGGCTGACATTGCCCTGAGGCGGCTGCTGGACAGCGAGGGCCTGGAGCTGGACCGAGTCCTGCAGCAGCCCGCACGCATCACCAAGAGGTCAGTGCTGGTCCTGGTATCTGTTTCCAGTATGAACAGAAAAGACACCTCAGTTTAACTTGTCATGTTTGTTTCAGCTCATTTCAGCTTAAGTATCAGTCACCAGTCTAATTTTCCTGGCGAAGGAACGTGAAAGAAAGTGGAAAAAATTCAAACCCTGGCAGCTTTGTTATCTGTGCACAGCTGGCCGTTCACAGTGTGAAGTGGGTGTTGGTTTCGGAAAGTTACAGAAATGCTCTGATACAGCTCTCCCTAATCTGATGTTGGAAAGGTGGGTGTGTGTGTGTGTGGGGGAGGGGGGGTTTCCAAAGCTTTTTTAATCATCCCACCAACAGTTCTGAGGTAGTTTTATGGACAGTCGGACTTAATCTCTCTAACAAAGAGATGACAAGATGTAAAACAAATCAGATCTGGCCTTGAACATAACTCTTATGTCTTGCAGTTTTTTAAAAAGTTTTTGTTTCGGGGGTTTAAGACATTTTCATCATCCTTATCAGATGGCTGAGACGAGACATGCACACACGTTTGATACTGATGAGCTTCGTCTTGTTGTTTTATTTATTTTCTATCATTATCAGATGTTTTTGCTTGTATTGTGTGCCCTGTTTTGCTGTAAAGCCCTTGGCAATGAACCTAACTTTCCGTGGCTGCACAAACAACATTGCATGCCACTTATACTCGATACTTTCCTCCTCAAATGCCACTGAGATACGCTGGGTGACTTATTTCTGTCTGTGTAAAAACCTCAAAACCGTAACAGGAAGTTCAGTTAAAAGTAAACTGCCTGAACTGTGGCACAGATGTATGTTTTTTTTTTGTTTCTGTGAATAGTAAATGTATTTAGGTATTTATAGTAGACAGGGTTGATCTGAGCACGCATTAGTCAAGAGATGAAAACTGAAGAAAGGAAGAAGAACTAATGGAGTGACTCAGAAACCACAGAGTCCAGACTGTGGAGACAAAAAAAGCAGGAAGCCAACATGCAATTGTGCTGGTGAGACTGAAATTACAGAAGTGGCAAACAAACAAATAATATACAGAAAGAAATATAGTGAGATGAAGAAATAACACTAGTAACTATGAATAAACTCCACCCCTCTTCACTTCCCAGCTTAGATTCTCCTCAGTGCCCGTGTGGGAGTTTATCATGGTTGACTCCACTCCATCCTTTCATAATGTTCTTTATCTGGGACTCAGTAGTATTGACACAGTAATGCTGCGGTTATGTTGCTGACATGAATTATGCAGAACACAACACGTTGGCACCAGCAGAAGGTTTAGAATCCATTTTACATTTTACCTCACGGCAGGTGCGTCTGTCACTACATGCAGGATGGTGAATTGAAACTGTTTTTAGTAAGAACCTAAAGTCAAGTTCTACAAATCATTTGTTTCTTCCAAGAAAACGTTACACTGGTTACTTTGCTGCCTTCTGTGAAATTATCCTGGTTTCTTTAAACTAAACCTATTCTTTGTAAGTGTTTTTATGGAGCATTTTATGCCTTTATTTGACGGCAACAGCGGAGACAGCCAGGAAAATACGCAGAGGGAGAGAGTAGGGAGTTACATGCAGTAAACGGTCCGGCCAGCAGGGAGTTGAACTGGGGAGCTGCTGCTCCTGCTGCTTTTTGTTTTGGCTTCTGTGGTATGCGCCATAACCACTCCACTCCACCGCCAGCAGGTCGCCGTTACTTGCCTTTTTGACTTTTAAATGACTCATTGTGATCCTCCAACATTTCTCTCTTTTATTCCATTACATATATAGTGGTGTGTATATATAAATCTTGGTGGTGTTGTGTTGGGTGGGCGTCCTTTAGAGAGGAACATAATTTGGGTCATCTGGGAGATTTGGGTCACAGAGTGGAGAAAAACAAAAGAAATAGCTGTGTTTAAAACTGAACTCATCTCCTCAGGGTTCAAACCAGATTTGGCTTCTTGTCAAGGAAGACAGCACGCTGCCTCTCATGACAGCCTGGAGACAAAACCCCCACTCCAAATCTGCCCCTGTATCCATCCATATGCGCACAATGTTCCTGTGTGTTGCTCTTCACACTTTTAAATAACAAAAAAATAACACTGACGACCTCACTTCTTAAAGTTGGCGAGGAGTTACCTCATCCATTTCTCCCCGGGACAGGAGCATAACCCAAAAATAGATCAGTTGTTTTTCACCAAGCTTCATCCTCACTGCTCCTCGCTCTTAGGTCTGTTTGTCAGATGGAGGACGGATAAAGAAAACACATGATACATGATATATAGAGCTAAAGAATAGTGTTTGCACAGAGAAAGACTTAAAATGTGATTTTATTTTGAGTATAAAGCCGGACTAACTTTGTCCCCTCCTGACAAAAGTCACATGATTTTGTCCAGTGAACCAGTGAATTGTCTTTGTCGTTCAAGATGAAAATTGCAGGGGGAATCTACAGCTGTGTTATGAACTCAAGCCGAGTGGCACGATGCTTATCCGTCACTTCCTAGCCTCGCACTGTAGTAAATGATAATGCACATGTTACATTTTCTCTTTGCTCATGTTTTGCAAACAGGATGTTATTTCAACATTATGTCAACATTTCCAAAGCGGAGCAAAGCGTTTGTGCAGAAGAAGCCCTGAAGTAACATGCAGTCATCATAACCCGACACTATTATTCCACTGATATACTTACGCCATCACTGCTTGCTGCCATCCTCTCCCCCAGGATCCTAGAGGAACAGGCGTTGAGGGAGTACGTCCTTGCTCTGTTCCGGCTCCCTCGTGGCGAAAGACTCCACGAGGTGGCGTCTTGTTCGGTGTGGACCCCGCACGCCCGCTGCCACACAGCCGGGACTCTCTACACCACCGACAGCTATCTGTGTTTCTCCAGCCGAGAGGAAGGCAACTGCATCCTGCTCATACCCCTCTCAGAGGTACAGTACCTGCAGCGTCGCCTCAGAGGAGCACGACCTTTAAAAGAAAAGTTTACAGGATTTTAGCAGGTTTTTTTGGGAAATGTGGAGAAAATTAAAATAAAACATTGAGCTTCAGTGATCCATAATAACAATGTATACACAATTAGCTGTGTGCCATTTAGACCTTAAAGATTAGTCCATTGGGGGCTGCAGGCTAGTGGGCCCAACCTGCACGTCGTAACCAAAGGAGGTGGTTTACTGAGGTCTAATGAAGCATTACTGGCTGTTGTTGTTTGTGTCTTTACCTCCTCATACAGAAAAGCTGATGGTGCAGTGAAATTTTACTCCACTTTCCCTGGGCTTGAATTTCCAACATTGACCCCAGGAAAGTCCCTGCATGAGTTGTGACCTTTCACGTGATGCATGATAAACCAGGTCAACTTCAACTTTCATAATGCTAGTAAATTAAAGGCCTGCAGGAAGTAAGCAGAAGTCCAAGAGCTCATGTGGTGTAATTACTGACAACCACCCGAGCACAAACAAGCTTTAGGTGTTTCCAAGCTTTAGAAGGTGATGAGGACAACCAGATTGAACCGTTAAGTAAATGTGAAATATGGATTTTGAGATGCTGAAACTGAATTCAGGCAGCAGACGACATGAACAGTCTCCAGTGAGTGAAACCTGTCTGGTCTGATCTTCCAGCCTGTTACTGAATGAAGCCAGTGACTTTCCAGTCGCAAGTCAGGCTCTTTGTCCTGAGTGAGACCCTTTATCTGAGAGTTTCTATAGTGGTCATGTATTTTGAGGCGAAGTTGTTTAACAGTCTGTGTTTATTCTGCCCGCTGCAGGTTAAAGAGTAACACTCGGACTGCTTTCATGTGGTTGATAATGTTCACACACATTAACACATTACAGTGCAGAGGGAGGGGCTGTTATATGTTGCAGCAATACAAGAGACAGTTAGTTTACATGTTTTTCTTCCTTAAAGTACAAGTCCACCCTTTTACAAATTCAGAATTTGTGATCTAAATGAACATGTCACGATTTGAAAATCTGTATTGACATTTACTGATGTACGTGCATGTGAGAATAAGCCTGTGTATTTGAAGCGCTTTACTAAAATAATCTAAAATTGTACGTTTTCTTCCAGCATTATTGTCGGGCTATTTTAGTTTCGGTTCAGTTCATTGTGAAAAGCAGAGATTAAGCAGCCAGCTGCTCGATCTGTTCGTGAACAATGTCCGGAGTCACGCGTACTTTCTTCCCTCCACTGCTGCAGTTTAATCCTCTATTTCCTCTGTTTTCTGTTGAAGCATTGTCTTTAGAAAAGTATAATCACTTCCTCCCACCTAATCTGTCGCTGTGAATAAGTAATAACTCCCCCTCCTGCTCCTCCACATTCTCTTTAACCTCTATTGTCTGTTGTATTCCTGCACGTTTCCTGTGGAGCTCGGCTATATGAATTGTGTAGTGATACGAGAGTGAAGTTTCTCATTTGGTGATCCCGGTCTGTTATTCTCATTTTAAATGTCACAGTCTGGAATAATCCGTGGATGCTATAATAAGACACAACATCCATAAATGAATCTGCCTCACTTCTAGTTTAAATTCTATTTTATATGACAGCACCATGTTATTGAACATTATCCCATTATTCGATATTGAGGTATTGAGTCAAATATACTGAATATTGATGATATTTTTGATGATATTTGACTAAGCCTTTGTGTTAAACAAGAACATATTGACTATTCCAAGTATGGCCAGCATTAGTTTCATATTGTAGATGCAGATTGTGATTATTGATTGTGTCATATTATTTAACACATGATATTATGAGGCTGTGTAAGCAAAGATTACATGTCATGAAAAACAGTTGTTTCATCATGTTTTCATAAAACCATACAGTCATCTGTGTCCATGTTTTGACCCACTTTCCCGCCTAAATCTCCTTGCAGGGCGTTCCTCTGTGTTCTCACTGTCGCTGAAAGCCTTGTCTCCTCGACTTTCTCTATCAGGTGTTATCCATAGAGAAAGCAGAGAGCACCAGCCCGCTTCCCAACCCCGTGATCGTGAGCATTCGGACTAAGAAGGCTTTCCAGCTGATCGAGCTGCAGGACAGAGACGAGCTGGTGGAGCGGCTCAACACCAGACTCAAAGCCCTGCAGTGGAAACAGTCCATGTTCCGCAAGGGAGGGAGGGAGAGGAGCGTGGTACGTGTGATGCTTCGTGTAAAGGTGTCTTGATGGGGGCAAGAAAGTGTACAAGCAAACAGATTGGGCAGAGAAGGAAAGATACTGGAACAACTGACCTGACACCATCAAAATTTAAAGCTGAACAGACAAGACAAGAGGCGAACTGCTGCTGGCTGACTTCAGACACTTTATGTTTGAAGAAGCTCCTCAGTTACTGTTCTTTAAGAGTCGCAGCAGCAACATGAGCAACAGTGGCCAGAAAACACTTATTGTTTGTCTCCTACAATTCAGAATTTAAAAGTCTCCTCTAGTGTCTCAGGGAGCTTAAAATGCCACATGTGGAGCACGAATCTTCTGTAATGCTGTAGGAGGTATGTGCTGTTTAGCTCTGACTGTTTTAACATGGATGCAAAAGGTAATGAAGATAGAAAAGCACAATTTCACAACTGTATTTGTTCAGTGTGATTTTGCAAACAATCACAGTATGCAATAAAATAGTCTATTTAAACCTGAGCTTTGGAATAATCGAGGACACGTGAGCCCGAAGGTTCCAACTAATCCTGAAAAACACTGTGTGAAGTCAAACTGTGAAGCTTTTAATCCTAAAAATTGGTTCTCACTTCTATGTTTTAACACGTTGAAAAATTTCAGCAGGAAACTTATAGTTATTTTTTTCCTCAGAGCTCCCCGACACCCTACTACTACACCTTCTACTACGACACTGGGTTTTCTGATGAAGAGGAGATAGAGGAGCAGGTTCTGCGTAACACGGTCAACAGTGAGGCCTTGATGACGGCCTTCCACCAAAACCAACCGGGAACAAATGGCAACAAGGTGAGAGGAGACCGGCACCGGAGCTGTTTGTCAAACGCAGATAAATCATTGTCACTTGAAAAGTATCAGCAGGTTTGTGTGTGAATCTGTGTGTGGGTGTCAGAGCTTGGAGCAGGCGAAGGAGCGGCTGTGGGAGGATCATTTCTCCGAGTTCGGTCGCGGTGTGCACATGTTTCGCACGGAGAAGATCCAGAGACTTGTTGCCATGGGGATACCAGAGTCGCTGCGAGGGGAGCTGTGGATGACACTTTCTGGTAAGAGAGAAGGAGCATGAAAAAGTGGCTAAAAACAAAGAGCGTCCACATGTATGAGAACCAGGTTTTAAACCTTTCTGTGCAGAGCTGGAATCATCATTACAATCACTACAACAAAATGGACAACGCACTTAATACACTATATCTAAAACTAACTCAACAAATGAAGATATAGTATAACACAGTGATTTGATTAAATGCTACCTAGTCAAAGAGGCTAGTGTTCATTTATTAGAGTTAAGAATAAATGAAGGTTAATTAAGAATGAATAATTATGAAAGATAATCAAATCACTGTGTTGCACTGACACAGTCATCTGAGAAATGAACGGGAGAACGACGCCAATGAGAAAACCTGCATGTATTGTGTGATTACAGATTAGGTGGAGGTGACACACGGCAGTTGATGACTGATACACAGACGTACCTGAGAAACGCTTCTGAAAAGCTCTGTTTAGTTTTAGAGGAGGATCGTGTCGGCTCGGTTTGGGCTGTAGACCAGAACAGATACAAGAAGCACAGACTTAAGTCCCGGCCGCAGCAGATAGAGTGTGTGGTAAAATGCAACACGTTTACAGGGCTTCTCTAGTCTGGTCTAGTCACATTCACAGACTTCCTGATTGGTGGACGACTTGCTCTACCTCCTGAGCCACAGTCCTCACGAAGATAGCAGTACAGACGTGTGTGTGTGTGTGTGCATATGTGTGCATATGTGTGAACACAGCTGGTGCCTCACTTCCTCTTCTCACATCTCATACAGTAGCACCATTTCAGTCAGAACCAAACTCTGACAGCTTTTATTTTGGTTTTCTGTCACTTCCTCTGCTCGGTCTCACTTCCCTGCGCTACAGTGGCAGCCGTCACTCAGAAACTGAAAGCGATGAACGCAACCCGTGGAGGAACTGAAACAGACCCTGGGATAAAAAAAAGAATTTAGCACCGAGACAAAGAAAGAAATTATTGATCTTCATTATACTGTATATGTATGTCAATATCCTAATTCTGTTTTTTCTGGTGCCCATATTTCTGAGAGGGGAAGGTTGATGTAGTTTAAAAAACAGTGACAGGATTTGTAATGAGCTGAGTGGCTGTTGGGCTGCTTTAAAGGTATTTGAGCACCTGCTGACTCACAGCATCTCTCCCCCTGGTGTGTGCAGATGCCTCCTCAGAGCTAGAGGCTCATCAGGGCTACTACACCAGCCAGGTGCAGAAGTCAATGGGCCAGAGCAACCTCGCCACGGAGGAGATCGAGCGGGACCTCCACCGCTCCCTGCCGGACCATCCTGCTTTCCAAAACCCCACCGGCATCGCGGCGCTCAGGCGCGTCCTCACCGCCTACGCCCACCGCAACCCAAAGATCGGATACTGTCAGGTGAGGTGACGTCATAATACCGTCACGGAATAAATATGTCCAATATTTACTGGTTAAATCTCTCTCTGCCCAGTCTATGAACATCCTGGCGTCCGTGCTGCTGCTCTACGCCAAAGAGGAGGAAGCGTTCTGGCTGCTGGTGGCTGTTTGTGAGAGGATGCTGCCCGACTACTTCAACCGCAGAGTGATAGGTGAGAGGTCAGGGGTCAAAAAGACAAGAGCGGTGAAGAGTCGACTCATAGTCGCAGCAACTGCTCTCTGTTTAAAAGCACATAAGTTGTTAAAACTCATGTAACCACAGTTTGAACCATTTAATGACATAAAGACTTCTGTTCACATACTGCAGTTGTTCCGTCTGAACTGTTTGTTCCTCACACCAGACGACTCGAAGGCTTATTGTTGGCCTCTAAAATAAGAGCTTATTTCCTGTGTTTGTGAAGCTGTATATTTGTGATATGCAAGGTGCATTTGAAGCAATTTCCTCTTCCTTTTAATGCCCAGATGGTTGTGGCCATCTTTTCATCTTTAACACAGCAGTGATTGTGTTTGTTGTACGTGGAACATAGATTTGTCATTTAAAGTTATTTTATCATTTTATTAGTACCAACAATTTCCCCACTTCTAACCCAGAGGAGACAAAAACAGCAATGCATTTAGCCTTTTAATGTATAACCACATTTGCTGTGAAACAATATGTGTAATACTGTAAATCTAAATGAAACAACATGGCTTTTTTTGTGTGTTGTTACTAGTTTTTGGATCACAGTATCATTCTATAGTGCAGCATGTTGTCAGGATCAGGCTGAGGTTAAATAGCCAGTGCTTCTGAGATAAAATAATTATTGTTTTTGTCTCTCAGGGATATTTGTTGATCTATTAAAATAATAAAATCACATGATAGTAGTCATGCAGAGGTTAGGTTGAGCAACAACACTGGATTCCCTGAATGTCCAGCTTTTGCTGCCATCTAGTGGTCAAAGCCGAGAAAAACAGCACATTCAAGAACTTATTCTTTGATCAGATAATCCCTGATTTTAATAATAATTGTGCCAATTTTAGAGTGTAAATAATTTAGACCAAATCCTCACAGGACTGCTGTAGGATATTTCACCTGTCAGAACTTTTCTTGAATGTAAATTAGCTCTGCACAGCAACCCTGACTCCACTGTTTCCTCCTGCAGGAGCTCAGGTGGACCAGTCGGTGTTCGAGGAGCTGATCCGGGAGCGTTTGCCAGAGCTGGCTGAGCAGGTCCCAGACCTCTCCTCCCTCTCCTCTGTCTCCCTCTCTTGGTTCCTCACCCTCTTCCTCAGCGTGCTGCCCTTCCACAGCGCCGTCTGCGTGGTCGACTGCTTCTTCTTCCACGGGATCAAAGCTATCTTCCAGCTGGGTTTGGCCGTGCTGGAGGCCAACGCTGCTCAGCTCTCTGCCAGCACTGATGATGGACAGGCACTTATGATTCTCACGAGGTAGAGTGGTGTGTTATTGGAGGATGGCAAGCAAGTGTTTTCAGATTTAATTTTTTTAAGTTGATGGACTTTATTGGTAGAGTATATCTACATCATTAATGAATTCTAAGTCATATTCAGATTTATGAATGGAGCGACTGCGTTTATGTTTTGAAAATGTTGTGTCTGAAGTGAACCCTCTGCTTTTGCAGTTTTCTGGAACAGGTTGGAAGTAAAGAGTCGTCCCGTCCTCCGTCCTCCCCGCCTGCTGCAGAGGAGAGCAGCAGCAGCAGCGACACCGATATTCCCGCTGTGCGACACACAAACATCACAAACCTCATCAATGAGTCCTACGAGGTGAGACGCAGAGATATGATGACATTTGAGGCCGATGTTCACCGATTTTTATATTTTATAGCAAATTATCTCTTAATTTTAAAAGCGATAAAGCAATTTTTAAAGCAATAATTTTGGTAAATTTCAATGAAGTGACCCTTTAACCCCTTCACATTCTTCATAATTCATGGAGGGTGACGAGTTTGCATCATTCTCTGTTATTTGTGTTTTCTCCCGTCAGAAATTTGGAGACCTGACAGTGCGGCAGATCGAGAGGCTTCGCTGTCGACACAGAATCCGAGTGCTGCAGGCTCATGAAGACACCACCAAGGAAAACGCTGTGAGCAAACAGAGAATATCAACGTCTTTGAAGATGCTTAAAAAAAGAAAATTATACAGCTTCTCAACCACTGATAATTCCAGACGGCCATCTTTCCCCTCTGTCTGTGTCTGTGCAGTTGCGATTGGTGACTCCAGATGTTTCCATCCTTCCAGAGATCTTGGCCGATGTCTATGACCTCTTCAAGGTATCTCCTTATCCCTCTTCCAATTGGTCAACACCCTACCCTTCAAAATGATCATCGTCTTTGAGGCTTTTAAGGAAACTGAGCCATTTCGTAATTGTAATCATCTTTCCGTCCATCTTTGGTTCTTCTCCTCCCCGTCCAGACGGAGCACTTTATCAGTCTGTACTGGGGTGACAGCAGCTCTGCGGCGGCGGCGGAGGCGGCAGCGTGGAGTTACGGTGACTCTGGTCGCTCCTACATGGAGCGGCAGTACCGGCTGGACCGGCCCCAGTTCAAGAGCCTGTATGGGCTGCTGGTGCCGTGGCCCGGCGGCTCTAACCAGCACACCGACACGGTGGCCAACCGCACCTTCACCCTGCTGGACCAGGACCGCGACAACCTGGTCACCTTTAGAGAGTTCGCTGGCTGGCTGGGTGGGTGAAGGAAGAGAAGCCGGAGACACACTGAAAAATAACAGATTGGTCAATGTTTTCAGATCGCAACTAGAACTTGGATCTAACGGTGTCTCCTCATTTTCAGACACTTTGTACTGTGAAGAGCTAAATGAGAAAATAAGGCTGCTGTATCGCCTCCACATCCCACCAGGTTGGTCATTCTGTTCACACAGTCATAGTCATTCAAAATCTGGGCTGTAATTCAGTGATTCACTTTACTGTGTGTGTGTGTGTGTGTGTGTGTGTGTGTGTGTCTGCAGCTCTGACAGAGAGTGAGGATGACCCCTCTCTGATGAAGAGCCCTCTGCTGTCCACCAACAGACCCCTCTGTGTTAATCTGCCCTCCGGTCAGTCCAGACAGAGTCCTGCCACTGGTTTATTAGCTCGACACAAAACACTACAACTAAAGAAAACACAAGCAACGTATAACGTGTTTTGGTCAGCTGATATAAATGTTTGTAAGAAATAAATCTGAACGTGACTTTTGTTTCCAGGTGTTGAAGGTGAAGTGAAAGATTACCAGGAGCAGCTGAAGCAGATGCTGCAGGATCTGGCCAAAGAGAAGGAGAAGGATGTGGAGAAACCTCTGCCACTCATGAACCAGGTGCTGGAAACACGCTGAGATAGAGTTATATTAAATGAAGTTTTCGGTCCTTGTTTGGGTAAAATCAAATGTATAAAGTCTACTTAAAGTCACTATATACAGAATTGAATATTTCCGACATTGCTGCTACAGTGACAGGCTGGTGATCTGTTTGCAGAGAGCCTGTCTCTCAGCCAGTGCAGGGATAGGCTTAGTCTCATCTGTTGTGATCAGCAAATATCTGATCCAGGGGCGCAGTTAATTATTTTCATTATTTTTGCACTTATGTTATAGTCAATAAAGTGCCAGAAAAAAACTGAAAAATACCCATCACAAATTCCAAGACCCCACGTGACGTCTTTAAACAGCTTGTTTTATATTAAGTCAAATATAATTAATATTAATAATAATAATTTACACAGAGAAAACAGAAAATATTTTCTTTTTAAAAGACATTTTAGCCTGAAAAAATCATTGAGTATAATTTCTCTCAATTCACTAATAAATTTTGGTCAATTGTTTCAGCATTAATCTGTTGGATTATGATGATGTCATCCGATGAAGCACTGATATAAACCCCCTTCATCTCTTCCTCCGCAGCGGGAGTTCATCCAGTTCTGCAAAACACTCTACAGCATGTTCCACGGCGAGCCGGAGGAGAACGACCTCTTCCAGGCCATCGCTACGGTCACCAGCCTCGTGCTGCAGATCGGCGAGGCCGGCCACCGCGGGCACAGCTCGGGGTCAGAGGTCACCGGCAAAGAGGAGGCGAAAGGAGCACAGCCCGCACAGGTGACCGCTGAAGATGCCGGGGCTGACGGGAGTTCGGCGCCGGCGGCGGCGGAGAAGGAGTGGACGGTCAGCTACGCTCAGATCCTGGCGTCGCTGCTGACCGAGCAGGCGCTGGTGAACTTCTTCGAGAAGCCGACGGATCTCTCGGCTCAGATCGCAGCGGCCAGGGAGAAGCAGTACCACCAGCGGGCGGGGTTGCTCACACTGCAGCAAGGGAGCAGGTGACTGAAACGTGGACGGTGTGGAGCCACAGCAGAAGCCAAATAAGTCGAAGAAGAAAACCCAGAATATCAGTATCACTTGACTGAATGTGACGGAACGCAGCGGCTTCACATTCAGAAGCTAAAGAGCCTTAAAGTTATCTGTGACATTTACTATATCAGTACTATGACTGGCTTAACAACAAACTGATCCACTTTTGCCTGTAACTGACAACAGAAAGAAGAAAATCTTTTGAGCCACAAAGACAATTTTCCAAATCTCTGATGGTCACTTTGCGCCACGGACACCGAAAAAATTACAGTTATTGCCTTCGTATGTCACCGTGAGGATGCCTGCAGTTAGACTTCCACTTATTAGGCACCGCTTATAAAGTGTTTATAACTAACTAATGCTTTATAGATCAGTTATAAGCCTTTTATTTAATTAACTTTTCAGTCGCCAGGTTGCAAAACATCTCTGATCAGTCATTAACAGTGAAATCATTACTGGTGTCTCACTTTCTCTCACTTTCTAATAAGCCAGGAACTCATTAATAAAATGTTTACTTACTTCATATTATCCAAAGTTGGTCAGTCATCTGCTGTGAAAAATGTAAATAAGTGAATAATAAAAGGGTTTTTACAACAATCTAAAAACCAATACTGGGATTTTGATCCAGACTCTCACTTTTCCAGAGGGTCAGAGGTCAAAGGTTCCTTCAGAGCAGGAAACCTGATAAACTAATGAGCAGAGAAGCCAGTGTGCTGCTGGAGGAGGGTAAAGCCTAATCACTTATCTATAAAGTGTTAGTACATGATACAACTAAATACCTTTATAAAGGCGGCCTTATTAGAAAGTTGTGCTACTAATCATTACAATCAACGGTGCAGCATTAAGGACACATCAAGCATGTAACGACTGTTTTTTTTTTTTTTACTGATTTTATAACCTCTGTTTCTTTAATATCAAATGTTTTCACATGCACTCACCCCGATTAAAGATGTTTGTTTTGTTTTTTTTTTTGTTTTTTTTTAAACTTTTTCAAAATACTGGAAAATAATCTACAGTTATCTGAAACTGTTGCAGAAAAAAAGACGGTGAAACACTGGTGAAATTGTCTTTCAAATAAAACACGTCGCATAAAGACATCACTTCTCCCTTTTCTTCTACAAAAGCAAAAGCTCATTTTGTTTTCAGTTCATTATCCAGACTTTTCCTGTTGAGCTGCAGGAGCAGTTGCCAGGAGGAGTTAACATCTGTCACGTCTATCAAATAATATAATAATAAATATGCAGATGTCACAGTTGGTTTTTCTGTAAGTCGACTTACTACAACCTGTACGGCTGCGTCGAGCTCACGCCGGTCACCATTTTTGTGCCCATTTTTCAGTCTTAATTTTTCTGGCTCTGGCACTGCAAGATGACGTCCCTATCCCTGCTGTTTCCTTGTCTGTTAGCACAACACCAGAGATGTGGGGCAGTGGTTCAGAGGTCTAAAACAAGGGTAGAAAAAGAACCATGTTAATATGACGCTCGGAGGCCGAGTGTCTGAGCAGGAACGCACAGAGAGATCAGCTACAAACACAAAGAGCTGCATTTTCAAAAGGTATCTGAGAATGAAGAGAAGGAGGCAGGGTGCTGCAGGAGCTTGGTGTGCTTTATTAGCTACTGATTAAAGGTAGAGGACGCACCTTACCCCAGGACCTAAATAATCGGAAGAAACAAAACACACATTCTACTAGTGGCCAGCCTTCAGTGTAAAGGAGGGAAGACTGAGGCTTGTCTCATACAACTCTTCAGGAGTGGTTTAATCATGGAGGAGGTAGATGGTGACTGACTCCTTGTAAGTTTCTTTGTTTTAATCATTTCCTTTTTTCTCTCCATAGAACTTCCATTAAAGGCACAACAGGAACTTCTTGAGCCCATTGTTTTTTTATGAGAAAATATTCTCTCGGTACAACTCGGACAAACAATGTTTTTATATATATTAAATATTAGTGAAATTTACAAAATAATGGGCCAGGATGTATGTTAGTGACTCTTGCTTTTCCAAGACAGCGTCTTAGAACAGTTAAACAATCTAAAATAGTAAAATAGTAGGCATAGTATGTATAATCTGAAATATTTATATGTGTCAGGTCACGATGTTCATGTCACATCCACAGGAAACGGGGGCAGCAGCATATGAATGATAACAGACTTACCAACGACAATTACAACACTTCAAATACAGTCACAGAGCTACAAGGAACTAAAAGCTACACATTGCACGAAGCCACAGAAGTTGTGATTCACAGGAAGACCGATCAGTTTGCCCTGTGGATGTGTCTCGCCCACTCCCGAGGGACGATGGGCGGGCTTTGTCTTTAAATTGCTTCAACGTAGTTGGCTGGCAGCATGCCGGTCTTGCCGGTGCGCTGCACAGTGCCGTACATCCACCCCTCGTCGATGGCCTGCACGTTAACGATGACATCGCCGTCCTTGAAGGACACCTCATCGTTGTCGGCTGCAGAGTAGTCGTACATGGCACGCACAGTTTTCTGCAGAGAGTGAAGGAAGATCAGTCAGAGTCAGTGTGTTTTAAGGCTGGAGGGAGAGCGAAGGTTTAAAGGATAAGGTTGGTGATACTATATACTTTTGTAATTGTTAACAAATCCCATGAAAAGTAATGAATTGATCCTGCTAGAGTATTATTGTTTTTACTTTTATCCAAACATATCTTATTCCTCTGTGCCACTGAGCTCCACTGATGATGAGCCTCACTGGGTGACGTGATCCTTCCTGCTGTCTATATACTCACCACAGCACCAGTGTATTCATGCACTGATGGAAGCTGTCCAAACAAATGCACTTCGAGTGGTTATGTAACTTTAAAGAACAACTTAACATTAGCTTGAACTGCAGAGGTTGAACCACTGGAGCTCAGCTGTTATGTAACTCTTAGCTTTGCCTTCTGGCCTGTGCAGTGTGTGTGACGTGAGTAAGTGCTACTAACTCCGGTGGTGGAGGGGTGTGAGGGGATGGAGGAAACTGTGGTCTGCTGGGTGGCCACTGATGATGACCTCTGCTGCAGCTCCACAGTCTTAGCGTGCTGGTAGCCTGAGAATGAAAACACACAATATAAGACCCCACAGACAAGTCACAGTCTAATCGGAGTTTACTGATGATATGGATGTGTAGATGTTTGATCTTTGACGCTGAGTCATTACCAGTGGAGGAGGTCATGAAGCCGTTGCTGTAGAGGGACATGTGGTGGTCGGCGTCCTGGGACATCTCAGACTTCTCATCAGCCATGCCGCTCAGAGCGCTGGTGGAGCGGGAGTGCTCCTTGCTGCGGCGCTGAGCTTGCACTGTCAGAACAGCGTCAGAGGTAAGACAAAGAAATGACTTGTAAATGTAAAACACAGTTATATTATCAGATGGAACATTTACATCATTGTATTTGTGGCTGGAACAAATCGGATAAATTTAACTTATGGATAATCAACTTTATTCTTGTTCCTCAAAAAAATAACTAGGTCAGATTTGTATTAATTTATTCATATTTATTTATATATCATATATATATATATAAAAAGCATATTGATTCTCCACCCACAGGCCAGATTTCAGCTTTGCATAAAAAAAGCAACCGGAAACATTTCTTAAATGATATCTACGAGCTTCTCATCTCACCTGACATCATGTGCAGACTCCTGGACTGGATGTTGTCCTCAGCGGGGTCGTAGTCAAACACAGAGCCGGGGTTTGTGCGCCACACGCGCAGATCTGAAGGAACAGAGTCAAATAACTGTGTATTAAGTCTGCAACAGTTTGTGCTTCTTGTGTTTTACCGTCACATTCAAGTCGTGACCGTGCATCAGCTTGTAACTGTACCAGTGACGGTCTCCTGGTCATGCTCGACGGCACGTCTCCTCTCCATCTCCACCACACGCCTCTGGATGCCACGGTAGCTGATGTCGCTGAAGTCCTGGGTGTTCTTCTTCACGCGTTCTGTCACGGGGTCGGAGGTGGTGGGAGTGAAGCTGCCCTTGCTTTTCTCAAAGTCCTCATGGTATCTCACCTGGACGGGCACGAATCACAATCACAGTAAGACAGTCAGGATTAACAAAGGTTGTGTGTAGCTTCAGGCATTGCTTCCACCAGTTTAATACATTGGACAAATATATTGTATTCACCAAAGTGATTTCTTAGATCTGGAAAAACAGCAGCATCACTTCAACAAAGCCTGATGGGGCAAGAAACAGGCCGTCTAGTGACCAGGCAGTTTGTTCACAAGCCCACAGTTTAACTTTATTGTCTTTATTGTATTTTATTGAAATATACAATATTCTTACAGCTGACAGGAATGAAGATAAAAAAATTAAAGACCCAAATTGTTATATATTGTTATGGTGCAATCTTTTTCTTACTGTTTACAATTCCCATTAAATCCAATTAACAAGTGCTGTCTGTGTAGACAAGGTCCAAAGGAAACAATATAAAACAACGCCAGCCCTTTAAGTAGAGAACTAGTTAGGAAGTAGAGGAGTAGAAATGATACTTCAGGTGCATAAACACAATTAGACAAACATCTAGAAATACTCACTCCAGAAATGATGCGCTGGGTCTCCCTGACGCGCCTCATCTCAGGTGTGTCCAGGACGAAGGCGGCCTTGCCCTGGACCTGCTTGCGGAAACTGTCAGAGTACAGCACCTGGTGGAAAGTGAGGACGGGACGGCGGAAGGAGCAGAGGAAAACACACAGTGAGCGTCTGAAATGCCTTTGAAAACCTGAATCCATCAGACAGTAGCCATTAGCATCCACAGCACAAAGGGTGTGGCAGAGAGAGTGAATGGTAAGAGGACACACACACAGCTGCTGGGGCATTACTGGGATTTTCAGACGAATGAATTAGCAGGGAGAGTTTTATTAAGAGGTTGACGTATTAAAGGAAACAGGAGTGCGTCCCAGTCTTCAGTGGGAGGACGGCAGGGGGACAAGATGGAGTGGAGTAGTTTCAACAAGAGGAGAGGTTAGCGGTGATGATGTGCACAGACACACCACAGCTGCTGGTATTAAACACATTTAAAAGAGAGCGCAGTGGGGAGAATTAATACGATTAACTGGAGCCAGGGGACAAGTCAGTTAGGAAAGGGTTAACGTGGGGTTGAGCTAGAACATTTCTCAGGGAGAATATGTTCTTGCAGTGGTTCTTGCAGGTACCGAGCTAATGTTTTCTTGGTTCCTTTTGACTCGCTCCATCTCTGGAGTAAACACCACAGGAGTTCCCTTGGCTGAACTGTCTTTATACAACACCTACAGGACAGAAGCACAGTGCCCCAAGGGGCCAGTCAGACACTGAACCATACACAGACCACACACCTATAGGACTGGTTTCATAGACTTGGATTAACCTCTTAGGGAGAAGATACAGAGAGAACAGTTTTCAGATTAATTCATCTCAGAGAAGGAATTGCTTTCAGCTTTCAGCTTTCACATTTCACTTTTTTTCTTTTCCTTTTTTGCATTTGTAATATATTTAAAAAGAGTCTGAGAAATTGGTCCTATAGAGTGAATCATCCTGGCAGCTCCTGTCAAACAGCCAGGATCTCTGTTGTAGACACAAACGTTGAAATAAACACACTCCTTACGCTTCAGCAGGAGATTTAGCTTTTCATATGCTGTGAAGTAGAAATTAATTTAGCAGCACACAGGAGCTTTATGTGAAGAAAGCTGGGCTGCGGGTTAGAAAATACTGTATTCACAGGCCAAAGAGGAGGGTTTCACTCGGCTCGAGGGGTTGATGGTTGAGGATTAAAGATGATTTGAAGGAGTAAAACAACAAAAGGGGGGGAAAAAAAGAAATGTGGGGATGGAAATTAAGGCTAAGTTAGGGTCAAGGTGGAGATGATGGCGGGGCTGGAGCTCAAGAATCTGCAGTTTGTTTTCTCGGGTGTAGATGAGCAAGAGGTGATGAGAGCATGAGATGATGGCAGAAGGGAGGG